CCAGCCTGAGCGTTCGTTCTCTCGGTGGTTGTCGAGAACTCTCCAACAGTCCTGTCGTCTCCGTTGTGCGAGAGAGTCGCCGATCAAGGTCAACCGATTGACAAGCGATCGAAAGTGAACGGCAAAGTGAGTACCGCACAGGATGACACGTGGACAGAAGCGATCCTTGCGCTGTTACTCGCCTCGCTCGCGATCGCATAGGTTTACGTTAGGTTTACCTCTCATTAACGAGACGCTGGTCAGGATTTCCCTGTTCTCTCATCGAGGACACACGTTTCTCTGTGCCGCAACTTCCTGTGCTTGCAGAAACACAGTCATGATTTATCACGGTCACGCGTCGATTTATCGATGTAATCGACTGTTGCGTGTGCACTGATTTCCAGCGAATGCGATCGTTGATCGACAATCGAAACGAGAATAGAGGGATTAAAATCAACGCGACGTGTTGTTCATTTATTCACCTATTTATCTATTCATTTACCTATTTTTTTTTATTTATTTAACAATTTATTTCCTTCTCTGTTCGTTTATTTATTTAATTACTCATTCAACCGTCAATTTATTTATTTATTCATTCATTTGGTTAGTTGTTGAACGGTAGAAGCTCGCTAAAGAAAGAGAAGGTACAAAACAAAGTAACAATAATCAGCTATCAATCCATCTCTATCACAATGAAGCAACACCTGCACGTATCCAGCAATTGCAATGGACAGAAAGCCAAGCCTCAACTGGTTCTAGCGTTAATGCCGATCTCGGCGTTCGGTTTGCGGCAACGCAGCGCAAAATCTCCGAGGGGACAAATGAATTGCGTGCGGCGGGACGCGCGTATATTAGCAGCGAGATAAATCGAGGAGGAGAGACTCGGCGCGAGGCCCGGTCGCCGATATTCATTACGTCCCGGTATCCTATTTGACGGCCGCGGGCTGTGCGCCGCCGGCTACGATCGATCCTCGAGAAGATGGTGCCGAACAACGATCGTAATGATCCAAGAAACTGGCGAGCCGGTTGCGTGCCATCTCGCAGCGATGATAAAGGACGCGCGACCGCAGGCCGGTAGCCATTATTGTTGTTCAGCATCGCGTATAAATCTGCCGGACAGACGGCCGTGCATGAATTACGTCCGTGGAATCACGGTGAATCGAGAAACCGCCGAGT